GAGATGGAGCCAGTTTGCCAACTCTCTCTGGCTTCCTGTGTTTCATTTGACATTGGCATGCTCTCAAATGTATCTCATAGGGACTTCTATTTCTATTATAGGATCCTTTAGCTGCAATCAAGCCTCTGAAGCAAGTAAGCAGCCATAATTGTAAATCAGTGACTGCTGTGTCTGTCTTCCACTGCACAGGGAGGCCTAAAGTCCTTTTTTTACCTTGCATATGAGAATGTATTCTTAGAATTGTTTGTGTTCTAGCAGGGCTATAACCAATATTGAAAATAAGGGGATCTAGTCCAAATGCCTTCATACTACTAACCACTTTTAGGAAATGTGGACCTGATGCTCATAAGAATGTGTTTTAGCCATGCTAACAAACTCTAAGGATGGGAATGTCTGTCTGTTGGGTTGGCCACTAGTCTGGTACTGACTGACTGATACACTGCCATTCATTTATGTACAGCTGTTTATGGTGTTTCAGACAATTCATTATAACTGCTTTGGTAATACACTTGATACATACACTATGAGCTGTGATTTAAACATATTATGCTCATTTTCAGAGTGCATATGTGTCCCCTAGCCTATCATATACAATGTGTTGTAGCACTAACCAATAGAAACGTGAGTGTTACATAGTGATGTCACTAAGTATGTTGAGGAAGTAAACAAAGGAGTCCAATGGAGGCGTTTCAGGCAGGGGGGGGGGGACTCCCACTGGAGAGTACATTGGGATTTTAAGGGAGACCGTTTAAGGCCCTGACACACCAAGCAGTCACCAGAGAACTCGCCGACTCCGACTGTTGCGTCGCTGTGTTTTTCCTGCGTCTTGGCCATGTGTCGGACTGGAACACACGCAAATACTTCAGCCGAGCACGTACGAACTGCGCATGCGTGAGTGGCAATAACTCTCCTTACCAGCAGGCGGCGGAAGTGTGTATTCATCATTCAAAAGAGGCAGAGAAGAAGAACAGACAGCGTGATATAAACAAACAACAAATAGCGTGTGCGTTCCATTTTCACTCTCGTCCATCGAAAACATGTTTTGTGCGGTAGGCTACTGGAGCTATCAGGCATTGGAGTGTTGCTTGTGGAAGACATTCTCAAGCAACAGTCTCTCAACAGGCAGAAGCGATCAGAGTGATTTCATTGTCCGACTGCCTGTGGCCGACGCATGGCCGATTCAACATGTTGAATCCGCCATGCGTCGGCCATGAAAGGGCAAATATGGCGTGTCACGGCAGACGGTGCGGGACACACCAAATTGAGTTTGGGCGACAGGGCACGCTTCGTCGTCCGACTAACGAAAACGGAAGATTTCGGCCTGGTGTGTCAGGGCCTTAACATGCAGTAAAACCTATAACACACTACAGGAAAGGGAACAACTAAAAAAGCATAATAGGACCTCTTTAAGTAAAAACATCTCTCTGATCAATGGTTGAATGGATTGCCAATAAACTAGTCATCTATCTCTAAAATATGTTGAAACTTATTCATGACGGTCTTTTTAAAAGCTTAAACTTGAACCTATTCAAACAGATTCCATCTTAAATGCACTGGATTAAGCCTCTTAAAAATGTTTTATTGAATATTGTCATATAACCCCAGTATGCATTTACTGCCCTGTCTCCTAGAAAAATGTTTATATTATTTCTTTAGAGAAATATCATTTCTAGACAGCGTGTCTGGTACTAAACTCAATTTTGCAGAGCTGTTTATGTTTGTTTTCCTCCTCATGGTTATGTTCTTCTCTGCTTTTGTGATGTCTGGCAGTGTTCAATTACCTTCACACCTGTCACAAAATTAAATGACTTCTTGTTGAAGACAACATGAAGCACAACACTGTTTTTGTTGGGCCATCCATGATCATCATCTTTCGCTGTTGATTTTATACAATTACATTTCAATCAAGGACAGCATGTGTGGGGAATGACTGAAAATCGTCACTGATTACTCTACTGTAATTATTTTTGATAGAAGATTTATTCCCCTAGAGCAAGAGCAAACTAGGTTTATGAAACAAACTGAATATCCAGAGCTGGGGGAAAGTGCTCCTCAAACTATTACAGAAGAACCACCTAGGAGTGAATTAAAGACACAAAGAGAAGTTCAGTTTAAACCACCTGTGCATAGTTTTTCTTGATAGACCATCCTGCGTCATAGCTTTCAGTGTTGCTTGAAAGGGCCCGTTGGTATCAGAAGATACAAAAGGCAAAGACTTTTCCACGTCACTGCACAACATTTCATGGGAAATATCCCTTTGATTTCAGAGGAGGGACATACCCCTTGTCTCAGTCTCTTTGTTTCTATCCCCCTTGTTAAAAATTTAAACAAACTTGACAATGCCTGAAAAGCTCAACCTACCATGAAAGGATAGAAAGCACACACAAGGAATTTGAAGAGGAAACCCAGAAAGAGTTGAGAAAGAGAGAGAGATATATTTCGTATAGCAACTACTACACATTTGCTGTGTGTATAGTGTGTGCTTTGTGTACGTGCTTGAGAGCCATTCAGATGTGAGTGAGAAGGAGAAAAGTTAAACAGTTTAGAGATGACATCTCACCCACTCAACTTTTTCAATAGAAAATGATTTAGGAAAATCAAATATATTACAGGCTATTACCATGGGTTCTTTTTCGGAATATATTTTCCTATGCGCAGGTTTATTGATCCAAAAAAAACTATTTCACATTTGGATGAGCTCCATTCCAACTGAACAAAAATGATACTGGGTCAGGACTCCTCAGGACAGACAGGATCCCTGCGGGGTCTTAAAGAGTCTTACATTTGATAATCAGAATTTAAGGCCTTAAAAAGTCTTAAATATGATCAAACAAATTAGAAAGGTCTTAAATATGATTTAGAAGATCTTAAAAATGACCGGATTTGAAAGGTACTTCTGTATGGCGATCGCGTCTAAATGTGTTTTGGGGGAAATGTCCGGGCTGCAAAGTTACCAGTACGCTAATAGTCTTTCAGTTACCCCCAACAATTTGTATTGAAATAAATCAACATGGAACCAGTAATCACTAACTTTGTTTTCCCCGGCCCCTTATCGGAGAACACCCAGCTAGTAACCTAGCAACCAAGCTTCAGTTACCGGTGTTGTGTCAAATGATGCACCCCCGTCGTGAAATGCACCGCTTGACACTTGAATGTATAGTCCGCTATCCTATGTTGTCTTTTTGATGGTTGTGTTGTCGAATCCTGGATTTTGCATTAATTCGTCACTTATTTTTCAGTAAATGTTTTATTTAATATATGTTTTTATTTAATTGTGACGTCCTGTCTGTATACTTTTGCTTGTACTTGTGCTTTACAATGTATAGTTTATTTTTACATCAAGTGCTTGAAGGTGGGATTCATATGATTGTTTTTATTTTGGGTGGTGCTTTTTATGAATAGCCTGGTTGCCACGATATGCACCCCTTGCTATCTCTGACAATAAACGTGTCACATACATGAAACTTGCTCCATTTATTGGTACTGGTCCTACAACTATACCCTCCAAAGTGCTTGAGGGTGGGATTAATAGAAGCATCTTCTTTTGGGGGGTGCTTTTTACGGCAGGCCAGGGGGTGCATTTCATGACGGGGGTGCATAATTTAAAAAACCAAAACACCGGCAGTCAGAAACTCGGGTATCTTCAAATCTACTTACAAATAAATATGGGGAAGTGTAAGTTCAACCGTATTTGGTTGGAAAATATCAAATTTGGTGCTTGGTTGAAACCAGTGGAGGGGAACGTGTTTGAAGCCCGCTGCACCTCTTGCAAGAACATGTAGAGTTTTTTTTGCAAATGTAGTGTTAGCTAGTGCAGCAGCTCCCGCGACAACATCGGGGGACCTCCGGGAAGCGACGTTTGGGTTTGAATACATTTAATTTGTAAGTAATTATGGGACGTATTTCTTCTTTCATAGCAATTTTCCTTCATACTTTCTTGCCGTGAAATAGGTCTTAAANTTTAGTACATTTAACACTATATTAATAAATTTACAGTGGATTATATAAGCATCCCACAATGTAACTTTCACGTAAAAATGAGAAATTTATTACCTCTCCGAAAAGTATATAAGGACTTTTGTTACAGGTGATGAACTCATTATTAGTGTAAATTTCGTTCACAATCAGAAAAGAAGGTGAAAAGTACACATGCAGTTGTTCGCCCACCAAAAATACTGGAAACTGTAGACGAAACGTCAAGGGTCCGTTCCTTCGCCGGGACCTCAGAGATCGAAGGAGACGATTCAACGATTTTTGGCGCATAACTAATCGGGTTTCACTCTACACGGAGTCTATGTTCCTGTCAACTTCGGAACATCTTAATTAATAAATAGAGGATGTTCTGGGAATTTCTCCGGCAACCTTTAACTACAGTTTTGTCAATGGCTCCGTTAGAAACATCAAGAGGTAGCTACAGACATAAGTACGGTCATTTTGCCTGAAGCTGGCGCACTTTCCTTCAAAGTTTATCCGGGAGATTCGCATGGTCTTGTTAATTGTGAAGACAATTAGTTGGTTTTGAGTCTGACAGTGCCCCTGTCCTGTAAAACGCTCGTACTATTGTTCCCAGTGAAGTAATCTCTTATACACACACATAGGGAATGACACTAGTATACAGGACATATTAGGTAAATAGTTGATAAGGGACATAACCACAAAATAGACTAAGGAGACAAAAATAAGAAAGTACACACACTATGACCTCCCGGATGTTTGTAACACCTCCTTTAATCGGGAATTTGTACAAAATCAATGAGATATACTTTACCTTCGTCGAAAATACTGTCCCTGCTCTCTCGACCAACTCCCGTGAAGAAGAACTTCTTAAAAGTCGTACCAGTTACTAGTCCCTTTAGATGAACAAAATTTATCTACACACACCAACTAATGAAACATAATCATTATTGTCATCACACATTTCCCTTCGACCTTAATACGTTACGACTTGGAAAATAAACTTTATTTCAAGACGCGTTTATAAGAATTTCTTGTTATCGAGTTCACAGACCCTTCTCGACGTCCGATTTACTCACACGCCATGAAAAATTGACGAACTCTAGTCTCTCGCCTACAAAAGGAGAACAATAATAACAAACTCCCAATTCCATTGAGTGTACACAATAAACCATATTAGGTTGATATTTTTTGATATAGAATTTGGATAGAAATATTTACGGTGTTTCATACACTTTGAACGTTCTCCCCAAACAATAGAGCTTACATTCCCAGCGGAGACCGGTCCCGGCACCCTTCTCCCCACGACTCGCCACGAACGTCGTGGGGGACTAACCTCCTGTCCCTTAGACGTGCCAGGTGTTCTAATTTCCTTTACTATCTATGGTTTTTTTGCTTAAAAGTCGGGACTACATTGTAGTAAGTATTAATTATTTCTATTGTGGAAAAAGTGGAGCCATGTCAAAGGTAAAACGGGACATGCTACTTCTCACCCCCTACAAACCGAATCGTCCGCGGGCGGTCGAGTGTGTGTCCTGTCTATAGTTCGACAGACCTGTCCTGAACTATCGGTCCTTGACTCTCCAGTCACTCCATTTCGCTGACTCTCAAATCTATCAAGGGGTTTGGGGGGGAAATCAGATTCAATAGAGTCTCACAGAGTTTGCCAAACAATTGTTAATATACGCATTTGTTTATGAAAGGTTCCGTGTGGAATATATTAATAACCCTATTTAATTTTTGTCCAAAATTTAGTAAGGTCACGTATGATATCCTGTCATTTTGTCTTTAATAACAAATTTAGACCTCTCTAATTTTTCTTATAACGTATTTATCTTATTTACAATTGACCATTTTATTCTTTATTGTACTTGTTGTTTTTATTTATTCAATGTAAATGAACAATAACCGCATACTAGTCCAATAACCAAACCTACCAGGTGTGTGAATAAACTAATAATTTTACATTTGGCTAGAAAAGCTATGACCCCACAAATATCAACATGGGGAATCTAGATGCAGAGACCGTTAAGTCGAGTTTCACGTGGTCTAACTTCGTAAGAATGAACATATTACACTTTTTTTTAGAAGCGGGGGCTGGGGGATCTCCTAACACTAGGGTGCGGTGGGGGGTAAAGTTTGTTACAAGGGTGCGATACGAGACCGAGCGCGACTACACCGACAGAAAAGATTCACCTCCTGGGGAACCCCCCCCCCCCGTCGGCGTATCGAGGAGGACCCCAAAAACCTATATTCGGAAACAAAAGAAATCTAGGTCAGAGAAGAGGAAGTTAGACTTGGTCTAGCATCTAACCTCCTTCTCGTCCCTTCATGAAGAAACATAAACATACAATGGAAAAATAGGTAATTTTGTTCTAATAGGAACAAATTGAACGTAAGAACCACAAAGAATTAGGGAACGGAAAAAATGCTTAAATGGTCGAATGGTTGTGCTGTGCGTGCTCTTGCCCAACCAAAATTTGTAGGAGGCTAGAGGTTGTTTTGATATAATACATTTATTGGGTTTAAACACAAGACACTTTGACTTTTTCTGCATATTATATAATAAAACTTCGCTCCAACTGGTCCTTCAACAAAACGATGCTTGTTGTAATGCCTCTTTCGAACTTATAGCGAAGATGTATATTTCTGCCTCTTTCATTCTTGTTTTCAGCCTTTATAGTCCATGTCATAGTATTTGTGAAATGTGTATTAACAAACACAATGAAAGCCAACGTCAACATAACAGAATTTACATACATTTACAACTGGAAGGCACCACACCCAGTCCCCGCGTAGAAGCAGCGCTTTAAGTCGTTAAGGTATAAGCACACAGGTAGCCCACACTATAAAGACCCTGTCACACTGTCCCTGAAATTCCATTTTGTCACAACTACCTGAAAATCCATTACATCCATTTTATGCTTCCAACTAATAAATTTATATCGATGACCAATCCGAATAGTTACACTGCGGGTCTCATCTTCTTGGACCTCATTTGCACCTGGAATTCACCAGCCAATAATAGTTTACTGTTCTAACTCGTTACTCACATTAACGCCACCACTTGAGCCTGTAGCTCCACCTTAAGACCCCTTGTTGTCACGTGAGAAGTGAGTCTCTTTTTTGAAGTCCTTGGTCCATGACCTTTGGTGCGGCGGTAGTATTGTGGTTAACTGAGTCTCTCCTTAAAATTTTACATTATTGAAAACTATGTACTTTGTTTATACCTTTATTGGTTCTATTCTGGGACAAATCTTTTATTATTCTTAGTCTTATGCTCTTTATTATGGTTTAACCGGAACTCTAAGTTTTTTCTTTTGTGCGGAAATAAAAAAAGGAAATTAGAAATAAAGTTTGTTCGTACTACTGAAACGACAAAACTAAATGTTTTTAGTAATATAACATCCAATTCCTGAAATTTTTGAGGACGATTGGATCTATTATTGAGTTTTTTTAGGTAATGTCAGGAAGTCTCTCGTATGAGCCTCTTTGGTGACTTGGTGAGTCCATACGACTGTTCAGTAACTTGTGGATTTTGTGCGGAGACGTCTGTATTTTGACTAATTTGACAGAAATGGTGCGAAGTAAGGTAGGTAGGTATAGCATTGTCGCACAGACACTGCGTCCTCCGTGGAGTGTGTGGAGTGCGTGGTACTACGACACGTGATTTATTAGGCGCGTCACCAGTCGTACTCCTACTAAGTGGGTGGGTGACTCGGTGGTGTAGAGCATTAAATAGAATGACCAAGAGGTGCCGATTAAGAGGAACCTACTCGAATTGCACATACGGTAACCAATTGCTACATTGACGGTCACAACGTTGTACAACTTGGACGAACCTCGTCAGATAATTGTCAAAAAAAGACCCTGGTTATAGACGTTTTAGGTGCAAATAGTACCATTAAAAGATGTGTTGTACCAGGTGGAGAAGAAGTGCAGAGAAGATGTAGTTGTACACAGGGGAGAAGAGGTGCAGAGAAGATGGAGTTGTACACTTAGGGAGAAGAAGTGCAGAGAAGAGTGTAGTTTGTACACAGGGGAGAAGAAGTTTAGCAGAGAAGATGTTAGTTGTACACAAAGGGGAGAGAAGTACAGAGAAATGTAGTTGTACACAGGGGAGAAGACCAGTACAGAGAAATGTAGTTGTACTAAAACAACCCGATGGACACATGATAAAGGAAAAGTTCAAATTCAGCTCTGATCGTAACAACATCGGGAAATTCGTGAGGGCATCCTAAGACATTGTATGACCGCCGGTGGAGTTTCTTATGGCTCCGGCAGCAACTTCGTGAGCGGTGGCAAAATCTTTGGCATGCAAAAAAATTGCCGAAGGACCTTACGAAGGTTAATTTTTCATGTTGAATTTGTGTGTAAATTTTGCCCTTCGTAAGGCCATCGTGAGGGCATCTTGTTATCATCGGTGCCATCGGGCATTCGCCCCGATCAGAGTGAGGGCGATGGCACCGATGATAACAAGATGCCCTCACGGTTTGACAAGATGCCCTCACGAGTGCCTTACGAAGTTGCCGCTCACGAAGTTGCTGCCGGAGCCTGAGAAACTCCACCGGCTGTCATACGAATGGCTTAAGATGCCCTCACGAATGGCCCGATGTTGTTACGATCAGAACCGAATTTGAACATTTCCTTAATCGTGTGTCCATCGGGTGTCAATTTCGGGACAGTGTGACAGGGGCTTTACTGGGTAGCAGACTCTAAGACATCATTATTAAACACTAGCAATCATCATAGGTGCCTTTTCTGTGTGGTTTCACCTACTCACAGTAACAGTAGGATAGTGTTGGTGTGTTACTACGGAAATATAGTGTTGAGAGTCACAGTTTCTAATCTTCGGGCTTGTGGGAAAATTTCGATTTCTCTGTATGTACACACAAACTGAAAGATTGACAATAGAGTTGGTAAAGAAACAATACAATATCTTATGTCATCAAAGAAAGAAGTTGTTTAGTTCTTTATTTCTTAACCTCTACAACTTCATGTTTTTCCACATACTCTTAACTGTTATTAACATACCCACAATGAAATACATGCCAAGGTTATATCAGATACAGCTTTCAATATAACACTTTCTGTCTCAAAATGAGAAAATACGTTTTTCCGAATCAACAAAAGGCTTAAGAAATGTTAAAGCAAACTGAGCATTTCTTACTGTGACCATGTCTCATGAGACTGGCACACTAGCAGGTGACTGACAGTCTATATAGATTTCCACGCTCACATACAAACATGCATGCAACACACGTGGATACAGGACTTGCTATGTTCAAAAACTTCCACTACGACCCACTAAAAGTTGTGTTTTCTTTTTTTCGTTGGCTTTCCCATTCGACTTTGGAAAAAGTAATTGGTCACTTTGTTATAAGGAATTTGATTGCAACAAAATATCAAGACGATAACTTCTTCTTACAACACTTTTTCTAATGTCAAAAACGTTTTAATATTAATACAAACAACTAGAATAACCCTAAAGCCATGTTATCACCAGTATTAAAAACAACCACCAGTGAGTAGATCAAGGGTCGGAGTTACTGAACCTCGACAGAGTTCCAGTATGAAGAGAATACTAAAGTCCACCATTAAGTAATACGAGATGTGAGACATGCGGATCGGCGGATGTTTTTTCTTCATGAAGGAAGCCCCTGTTTTTGGAGCTTTCCCTCTTTTCTGTGTCGATACCTGAAACCCACGATTGGCTTCGCCTCGACTCGTGAGTGCACTGACAAACAAAAGTTCACTTGTATAAATGACAAGCAAAATGCCAAAAACCCATTTGCTTTGTCATTCCTTTGGTTAGCTGATCTCTTAATGTAGCCCTGGTAGAACATGTGTTTATAGGACATTCAACAATTATGACATTAAAATATTGTATTACCAAATTAAAGTGTCCAAATAGACACTGATTTCTGCATGTCTTCTTCACATGTATCTGCTTCCATTTGGTTTGAATCTGTTATCCACCATTATAGTCTAAAAGTGTGACTGATGGGATTTTTAAAATTATATTAATTTGATGTTTTAAGCCCTTTCCACTGCAGGAAATCTTTTTTTAAAACGGCGCTAAATATGTTCTGAGAATGCCAAGTTAAATCGCCA